TCGGATGTAGGGGAAGCTTCTAGCAGCTTCTCACAGAAGCTACCCCTGTAGCTCCCCCTGCTACCGAAACCTTGCCATGCAAACCCAATATAGGATCTTATTTCTAGAAGCGCTGAGCCTCAAAACCAGTGAGTGCTCCAAAGTTGTTACATATTCCACTAAATTGGATGCCAAATATTTCTTTTTTGAGATCCAAAACTATTTATATGTTGATCTCTCAGTTCCTCACCTTTTGTGTATATAAAATTGAAAGTAATATTTCTTAATCTTGCAGGAGTGGTAGAAGATTAAGTGAATATTTGAGGATAATTTGCATACTGTGCTGCTGAACTTGTGGGTTGATGGTGGCTGACTGCTAGACACCCACCCAGCTGCTCTCTCACTCCCTCTCCTCAATAGGACAGGGGAGAAAATAGGATGAGAAGGTTCATGATTCAAGATAAAGATAAGGAAATCGCTTACCAATTACTGTTGTGGACAAAACAGACTTGATTTTGGGAAAATGAATTTAATTTATTGCCAATTAAAAATAGAGTTGGATGGTGAGAAACAAAGACAAAAAGTAAAACACCCTACCCCATCCCCTCCTTTTCTCAGGTTTGCTCCTTCATTCTTGACTCTTCTACCTCCCCCCCCCCACCCCCAGCAGTGCAGAGGGATGGGGAATGGTGGCTGTGGTCAGTCTGTAAAAGCTCCTCTCTGCCGCTCCTTCCTCCTCACGCTTCTCCCCTGCTCCAATGTGGGTCCTTCCCATGGGCGGCAGTCCTTTATGAATTGCTCCAGCATGGGTCCTCTCTGCAGGCTGTCAGAAAAACCTGTTCCAGTGTGGGCTCTCCATGGGCTGTGGTTCCTTCAGGAAATATCCACCAGCTCTGGCATGGGGGTCCTCCACAGGCTGCAGCGTGGGTGTCTGCTCCACTGTGGTCTTCTCCATGGGCTGCTGGAGAATTTCCACTCAGGTGCCTGAGGCGCCGCTGCCTCCTCCTCCTCCTTTTCTGACCTTGGTGTTTGCAGTTTTGTGGTGGTTTTTTTTTTCCTTTGTTCCTCACTCACAGGCAGCATTTTGTCCTTTCTTAAATATGCTTTCCCAGAGGTGCCACCATCTTGGCTGAGGGGCTCAGCTGTGCCCTGTGGTGGGTCTGTTGTGGAGCTGGCTGGAACTGGCCCCGTCTGCCATGGGGCAGCCCCGGCCTCTCCTGACAGAGGCTGCCCTGCAGCCACCCCACAGCCAGAACCTTACCACGTCAACTCAATACAACACTGCAGAAAATTTCACAAGAGAAAAAATAACGGCATATTTGTAGCTGAGTTTGAATAATGGTTGTACATTGAATGATGAGAAAACAATTAAATGTTGAGTAATTCATTAATTTAATATTATTCCTGTTGTATACTAAACAGCACAAGGCCTGTGTAGAAAGGATACTTGCTTGTGTGACCAAATAGTTTTAACTATCTTAATGAAGAACTATAGAGGACTAAAATAAGGTTATTTGTAATAGTTTTCATTCTGATGTTGCTCAGTTTGTCTCTGTACTCAAACTATACTAAACAGCACAAGGCCTGTGTAGAAAGGATACTTGCTTGTGTGACCAAATAGTTTTAACTATCTTAATGAAGAACTATAGAGGACTAAAATAAGGTTATTTGTAATAGTTTTCATTCTGATGTTGCTCAGTTTGTCTCTGTACTCAAACTAGTCTTTCAGCATACTGTTGTATTTCATCTGTCTGTGTGGGTTCTGTCTGTACTGATGCCTAGCAGGCTTACCGAATATTTAAATATGCTTCGAGAGTAGTCTGATGTATTTGGTATACTGAATAGCTTGGATATTTTAACTGAGAGATTAAAATCTGTCACAATGTGACAAATAGCCCAAGTGATAGGTTGATGATTTAAATATATGGAGGGCTTTTTGCCTGTTGCATTCTTGTGTGTTTTCCTCCTGCTGTGCTTTTAAAACAAGAGAAATAACATCAGGCACCAGGAGAGAACAACAGAATAAATATTAGCAGGTTTATGACTGTTCTCACTTCTCGTTCTGCTCTTTTTATATTAATCTATGTTTATTGAGTGTTTTCAGGAAGTGCACTTGTAAGAGTTGTTCCAGAAGTGTCTGAGTTGTTTGGCAGATGGACTGTTGGATCAAATAGATCACTGTAAGCTTTAAGGGAGAGACCTACTCTTTGCAAACAAGAAAGTCTGTGAAGCACAGGGAAAAATACAGAGCTTGCTGCCCATGGCCCTTTAGTCCTGTCTTCTGCCAGGTTTTGGCAACTGCTAGACTCAACCCTCTCCACCAAGAGTCTATACATTCTTTCTTATGCAAGCTGCTGAACAGTGATCAGATAGCATTAAGTTAGTACTGCTATTAGCCTGGAAACTGGAGGGTGAAGGGTCCATATAACCTGTTACTGATCCCTGGGCTTTCTGCATGTTCCTTCTTGTTTCTGTCCTTCAGGCGCAATGGTTGGTGACCACACCCGCTTGGAGTTCCACAACATTGAGACAGGGATCATGACGGAGAAACGGTACATCTCTGTCATCCCCTCCAGCTTCATTGGCCACCTCCAGAGCCTCATGTTCAATGGGATGCTTTACATTGACCTGTGCAAGAATGGTGATATTGACTATTGCGAGCTGAAGGCACGCTTTGGTCTCCGCAACATTATAGCTGACCCTGTGACATTCAAGACCAAGAGCAGCTACCTGAGCTTGGCCACCTTGCAGGCTTATACATCCATGCACCTCTTCTTTCAGTTCAAGACCACCTCAGCTGATGGTTTCATCCTCTTTAACAGTGGTGATGGCAATGACTTTATTGCAGTTGAACTAGTCAAGGGGTAAGTGACTTTCTGCTATATTCTACCAGCTTATTTATAGATAAACTTACTTATAGGTAAGCTTAAAATGCTTGCATAAAGAGAAATATACTTTATACTCATGTGTTCTCTGTTTGCTGAGGTGTATGGCAAAGCACTTAGACATAAACACTGAAGCTTAAGACTCCTGATTTTGTCACTGACTTCCCCCTGTGGCTGAGGGAAAGACACTTTTACAGTGTGAAATGCTTAAAGTTTTAAGTTATTTGGATCTAGTTAGGCTAATGTTTTGTCCCTTTAACCTGGCAGAATAGCACAGAGGAGGAGGAAATGTGCTGAGGGCTCAGAGTCTCTCTTCCCCCCCCCTTTTTTTCCCCCTTTACCAGACTCGTCGTTTCTGCCATCTCTACTGAAGGAAAAAAAGAGCGTATGGGCTGCTGAATTTATTTCTGCTGGTGATGCTTGAGGAAAAGCAAACTCAGCTTGCTTTTGAGCCGATATGTTATTTTCGCAAGACCAATAGCTTATTAAAAAAATCTTTGTTAGCTGAACAAATTTTGATCTCTTAGACTCATCTAGTCACAGTAGACACGTTTTCCACAAATACAGTTTACTAGTCCTGTTTATTTCAGTATAACTATAGTTCAATCCTGTTTCATTTTTAACTTTGCACATATTTTTGTAAGTGGGACATTGAATAATAAAAAAAGCAAGAGTCACGAGCTCCTGGTGCTCCGAGAGTTGAATTTTGTTGTCTTTTTTTCCTTTCTAAGTTAGAATATTTCTCTTCTATCCTCAGGTGGATTTCTGTGTTTGAACTATATAAATAATTCAGGGTAACACTCCCATGACTTCAGTCTTCTTTAAGGTCTTTATTTTTTGCCGAAAGCTTTGCTAATTGTTTTCCAGATGTTTGACTAAGCCTAGGATCTCATGTGAATTTTAGTACAATATTTTGAGTGAGTTTCCCAATTAACTTCTTAAGGGAGTTATTCAAAACTCAGAATGAATCTGGGGAATATATGCCCCAAATAAGCATATCTAGTGTTGCTCTCCAGTACATTTATCAATATTACCAATTTTAAAAAAATAATTATATGCACAGACAGGGGTTTTGTGGATCTGAGAGAACTTTGTGAAAAAGATGAATGCTTTATGTTTAGAATCTGATTACTCCGAATGTCATAATCTCAAAATATTAGTCCTTACACTTTCTTGGTGGAGAGGAAACTACTATATCTTTTCAAATCAGTGGCTAATATTTTGGCTTCCTAGAACCTTCTAACCCAGAGATGCTTCCCTTCATGACTTTTGTAAGTTAATTTATCAACTCTGGCTAGAATAAGGGTCAGTAGTGCGGGAGTTCTTACACAATTTTAACTAGTTCTTGCTGTGTTTACAGGTATATACACTATGTGTTTGACCTTGGAAATGGACCTAATGTTATCAAAGGCAACAGTGATCGTCCTCTTAATGACAACCAATGGCATAATGTCGTCATCACCAGAGATAACAGTAACACACACAGCCTAAAGGTGGACACTAAGGTGGTCACTCAGGTTATCAATGGTGCCAAAAATCTGGATCTTAAAGGTAAGTTCTACAAGACTGACAGTTCCCCCCCCCCTTTATTCTTGCGCAGCTCAACCAGTGAACAAGAGAAAGCTTGCAGAAACCGTCCATTACAGAACAGTAAATCTAGAATTTGCTGACTTGGGCTTTCAATTTCATTTTTTCCTCTTTCTCCGTTTAGCAACTTCCTGTAGCAGAGTAGTTTCATATTTTGCTTTTTCAGAAATTGATTGTCATCCTACATTTTTTTTTCTAGTTAGGATGCAATTGCAGCTGGGTTTTTTCGTGGTGTGTTGTGTGGTGGGTTTTTTTTTTGTAGTAAAGGAGGCAGAAATGACTTCTTGCACAATATTTTGCTCTGCTTTTAACTTTTTCTGAGCAGCTGTACAGCTTGCTATATTCATGTTGGGAGGGGGGGAAAGCCACTCTAGAAGGTATGTAACTTCCTCCTTTTTGTATGTTTACCCCTTTCTCCTCTAGGTGACCTCTACATTGCTGGCCTAGCTCAAGGCATGTATAGCAACCTCCCGAAACTAGTGGCCTCACGTGATGGATTTCAGGGCTGTCTAGCATCTGTGGACTTGAATGGGCGTCTGCCTGATCTAATCAATGATGCTCTGCACCGCAGTGGGCAGATTGAGCGTGGATGCGAAGGTATAATTGACTTCAGAGAGTGTTCCCTCTCAAGCACTCCCCTTTTACTTCATTGCTGCCCCTGTGCATCTACTTGTCCACCTTACTGTCCATTTCATTAGTTTGCTTTCATCGTGACATTCTTCACTACGCTTATGTCTTCCAAATGCCGCTTAAGGATAGCTAGCTTTTGCGAGCAGCTTTGCAGCTGTTCTCTTGCATACTCCATCCCCTGTGAGGTGGTACCTCCAGTAGTGGAAAAGATGGTACTGGGATGGACTACTATTTACTAGTACTTTTCTCAGCGTGGTTTATTAACATTACAGCACTCTTAAAATACTTTGAAAGAGGTTCTGAGCCTTCAATTCACTTGTGCTTCAGAGCACCCTTTTTTGGGATCCACAGAAGTAAGTATTTTGAAGACCAAGTAGAAGACAGGGGAAATAGAAGGTAGAAGAAACGGAAGGGTGAAGATCTGACCAAAACAGGAGATCCTTTTTGAGGAGGTGGGCCTCCAATGAAAGCACTGTGGGGACATTGTCTCTGCTGGGATCCACAGTAAGTATTTTGAAGACCAAGTAGAGACAGGGGAAATAGAAGGTAGAAGAAACGGAAGGGTGAAGATCTGACCAAAACAGGAGATCCTTTTTGAGGAGGTGGGCCTCCAATGAAAGCACTGTGGGGACATTGTCTCTGCTGTCTGTAAAACCTTTCTCTTCTGTAGTTTCTCTTTTCCAGCCAGTTTAGAAACAAATGTGATGACTGACTTTTTGAAGCATGTAAATAGTAGTGATTTCTTGAAGCTGCTTTAAATAATTTACTGTTCCTGCTAAGCTCCCATTAATTAAAAGAATATTGACATCATCACCACTGACTCAGTAACATGCATATGGCATCAATTCCCAAAGCACTTGGGATACTTATCATCAAAAAACCCAAGGTTTTGCTGACTGGGTTAAATGAAAATCACCGTTATGTCTAGCTCCACTGAATACCAGTTTGCTGTGTTAGCTACTGATAAAACTATCTTCCTCTAGTGACTGGTAAAGTTGTCTGGTATGCATGTTTGCTAAGAAGATGTATGTCCCAAACTGATCCTTCAAGACAGGGCTTCACAAAGTGAAATTAGTCCTTGATCATATTTCACTACTGTGTCAAGATTACAGGTTACATCATGCTGAAGCCTTGCCACTTGTCGAGACTGTCCTTTCTTAGGACTGAAAGTATCATCTTAGTGCTATCTTTGAGTATTCATGAAACGCCAAATTGGCAGTCCAATTAGATCTGATCCCTTCCTTGTCTCCCGGTGTTCTGGTTGGCTGGGAGCTCCTGTGTCTCAGCCCTCCTTCCGCACTCCCACAATAATACTCTGGTTTATGAGAATTTTGTGTCCTGTCACAGGAGCTCACTCAATGTCAACTCCAATTTCACAGCATTGGTAAGTGCTGCACAGCTGTAGGCTGTTCTTCTTTCTGTCTTTCTGCTGTATTTAATAGTGTCTGTTAACAACATTGTTCCTTGTGGAAATGAGCATAGTGTAGCAGAACTTGTGGCTTTGCCCATTTGTGGCAGAGCCAAAATGCCAAAAGAAGTGCACCTTTTCTGTGTTGTCATTTACAAGGTTCAAGGGGGAGGGGAGAAATGTATTTGGGGTTTTTGAAAATGTCTTTTTTTATTATCCTTAGTGCACTGAAAGCTCTTCTTTAATATTAGTGATTTGTGGTAATTCTTCTATTTGAAGTTAGCTTAATCTGTTGGCTATATAGCCTACGTGTTATGTCTACTAGCTCTTCTCCTTCAGAGGACCTCTCGTTAGACTAACCTGTTGTTCTGTGTGGCTCAGGAAGAGAGTCATGATGCTTTCCTGGAAGACTCTGCACCATTATTAGAGCTATGGTGTTTCCTTCTCCTGTACCCAGTGTAGGTCTTTGATTTAGTGTCCTATTACTGAGGTTGCATAAGGTCAGTGCCATTCCCAAAACGTGTAATGTGGCACACACTTTGTGTGCCAATCTGGTACCAGCTCAGCTGCTGCCTGAATGTGGAGATCGGTTCACTCTTAGAAATGTCAGGAATGTGAGTTCCCCTTCTCTTCTAAAGCCTTTCAAACAAGACTCAAAGTTGGAGACAGACCTAAAAAACTGGGTGGGAAGGTCAATGATTGGCCCTCATTCTGCCTTCAGAAGAACTTGATTTTGCAAAGCCGTGCCAGTGCTATCTTCCTGAATGGTCCCTGCTTGGTACCAAGGGAACTGCTGAAGAGGAAGCCATTCGCTTTGCCAGCATGTTTAGGATTAGTAAAAAACCTGAGAATTAGGTCACCAGAAAGCTGTTACCTTTGGTTTTTTGAGTCACAGCAATCCCCAAGGCTTCATCTCATCTTGACTGCTGCCTGCTGGTGCCTGTTCTTACAGTTGCCACTGAAAGTCACACCTACCTCCCCTTCCTCTAAGGAAAGAAAAACTCTAAGTGTGTTCGGTCCTTATTTGTCTCCCTATTTTGTTTCCATCTGAAGTGATCTTGGGTGCAGGCTTAACAATGTTTTTAAGGGCTGAAGTCCCAAGCAGTTCTTGCTGTCTTATGATGTTTAAATGTGTTTATAATAAACAGTTGCAGGCTTTTTGGGTGAACAGTTGTGCTGTGTGTTGATTTGCAGGACATGTCCTTATTTCATCATGAAGGGCAGTGGGACCATGTACATGATAAGAGCATGCATGCTTAAAGAAATGTCATTACATCCCCATGTATGAATCTTGCCTTCTGAATATGGTGTGAGAGAGATTTCTGCTAATGCTTGTCTCTTGTTGTGGCTTTGCTTTCAGAAGCAGAGGAGATTACAAGGTGGCAGCTGTTTTCTCTGAAACTGTCAGTTTGGTCTTAGGACAGAATCAAAGGATGTGGGGAGGAAGGAAGCTTGGAGAATAGTAGAATGTGAGATGTAGGTCAGCAGACAGCACTGTCTCACCTAAGACAGACCAGTACCACTACAGATGGGTGACATCGTTGCAGCTTGTTTGCATTTGTTATCTGTGTATTTCAGTACCCTATTCCATACCACCAATTAAGATTTGCAAGTTTTAATAGGAAAGTAATATTCTTTATTGTCTTGGTTCTACTGCCACTTCCTTTTATTCAGTTTGAGCAACCCATTGAACTTCCTTGGCCACATTGTTCCTCTTATGTGCTCAAGCATAATTCAGCCTTGCTGTGCACCAAAGCACAAACCTACTGCATTATACAATTAGCTGTGTTCCAGTGATGGGTAAGGCAGTGCTCCTATTTGAGCAGGAGCAGGAAGCGCTTTCAATATAAATAATATTTATGTGAGAGCTTTTTTCTTTAGGACCTGGAGAATCCCAAAGCATTCTTAGGCCATATATAGGAGTCATTAACTGAAATGCAGGCATCCTTGAGACTGAAAGTAGTGGTGTTTAATAGCATATAGTAGTGTTAAAAAAAAAAAAAAAAAAAAACAGCTTAAGACCTCAGGCAAGAATTACTTTATCTCTGATTGCCTATCAGTTTTATTCCTATAATTTCTTTAAATTCCATTATCTATGGTGGAATTTGTTTAGGATAGCACAGCTAAGTAACCTCTTTATCCCATTTGTTAGCTGAATTGTCAGCTTCCTTTTGCATTATGCTGCATTATGAAATTCAACTATGTCTTGCAGAGCACTTTAAAGTAGCGAGTGGAGGCCCCTAGAGATGAGCAAAGCATTAGAAACTGAGGTAAAGACGCCCTCTATCGTGACCTGGTTCTCTCCAGTCTCCAGCTCAACAGCCTATGGGATGTGGTTGGAAATTTTTGTACAGCTCCTAAGTTTGAGTAATAGAGGCTATTTCCATTTCTATGTCAGACATACACAGCTTGCGAAACAAGATGTCTGCACTGTGGTGTGTATGCAAGAATTGGAGGATCGAAGAAGTTGTTCCAGGTGACCTTCTTTCCCTCCTTGAAAGTAAACCAATTTAAACTTTGGATCAGCTCCTCCTTGATTCCAGACTTCTAAAATCAATTCTTTTTGCTGAGCGCTTCATTCCTGGTCTTACTACTAGATGAATGGATCAGTTTATTCTACCCACAAAAGTCAAGACTCGGTGACTCACTGCTTTTTCCTCACTGGTCCTGGAAGAAATTAAGCAGATGTCCAACCTTTTGTGGAGTTTAAAGACATTGCCCTAAATATTAATGAGTACTTCCTGCATTTGGGGTGTTTTTTCACTTCTTTATTAATTTGCCATATGTTCTCCTGTGTTTTCCTTTCCTTTATTTGGACATCCTTATGTTGCTTACCATGGGCACTAGAGCTATCTGAAATTCAGCTGCACGTTCTAAATACGTTCACCCCATCCTGCCCCCAGCCAAACAAACCTAACGGCAGTGGTTAAAGAACATTGTATTTCTTCTACAAGGCAGTTTTCTATGTGCTTTAGAGATGTGGCTTCTTCCTCTCCTCTTCACCTTTTCTCACCTGTTCCACACATAACTTCTCACAAAGGAGAGTGATTATTATTAAACTGGCTGACACTGTTCCAGATGTTTTGGGACTTCCTTTTGGTCCTAATTTAATCTTCTTCCAGATTCTGCAGAAAATCATAATCTTGTGCTACTTTCCATGAAATAGTTTAGTTAACCTTTGGAATTCACTGGTGCATGAAAAGCATGCATACAGGCTGGATAATCAGAAACACATTTTGCATACTAAGCAGTATGTGGAAAAGAAAAAAATCTAATCTCATGCTTAAAATCTCACAGCAAGATAATGTCAGAAAGAATTTCACCCTTCATCTGCTCAGCAGTAAAACTTCAAATCTGGTCATACTTCACTTTCTCTGTAGAATCAAAGGTTGTCTGTTGAGGAGAGGAGCATGAATTTATTCCATGATGGTTTGACAGCTCTCCTGTTCTTTATGCTTTTGTATTCCGTTGTCACAGTGCTACTGGATTTATGGAACAAATATAAGCTTTGCTCCACCTCAGCTACAAAGAAGATGAGGAGCAGGGGAGTTAGAAAAAG